CATATTGACTCTGAAGCCTTTGTTTTATTTCTTGACTTTTACAAGGCATTCGACACTATCGAACATGCCTTTCTATTTGAAGTGCTACATTTTTTAGGTTTTGGAAACAACTTTTGTAATATTATTAAGTTGTTATATAATGGCATATATAGCTCTGTGTCTTTAAATCCTGGTATAACCCCTAGATTCGAGGTACTACGTGGCATCAGACAAGGATGCCCGATCTCTCCAAAATTATTTATTTTAGCCACCCAATTATTTATCATGCTCATAAATAACAATCCCGCTCTGCATGGTATTTCAGTCTTAGATAAGGAATTTAAAATTAGTCAATTTGCGGATGACACAGTAATCTTTTTAAGGAATAAATCTATGGTGCATATTGCTCTCAGTATGGTCTCGATATTCTCTAAAGCTTCAGGACTTTCTCTTAATATTCAAAAATGTGAGCTATTTCCCATTCATTCATCTGAAGATTCCAGCATTGCTTCAATAAAGGTTAAGACTGAAGTAAAATATTTAGGAATAGTCTTATCCAAAAATGCTATTAGGAGGGAAGATATAAATTTTTCTGACCGTTTAATCGATGAAAAAGGCGCTGGGTCGTTGGTTAACCAGAGACCTCACTATCTTTGGTAGAGTTATGCTATCTAAAACAATTGGCATTTCCAGTGTAATTTACCCTTGTCACTCCCTATATGTATCTTCTAATAATGTTAAAAAATCAATTCAATTATTTTCCAATTCCTTTGGAAAAATAAAACTCATTATATTAGGAAATCACAGCTTGTCAAAGAGTATGAAAAAGGTGGTATCAAAGCCTTGGACTTTGAAGCAACGTTTGGGACCCTTAAGATTAATTGGTTGAAAACATATTTATCACAACCAGACTCTATGTGGTTTCACATACCCAGATCTTTATTTAAAAAAATAGCTGGGCTTGATTTTTTCTTACAATGTGATTTTGAGGTGACCAAGATTCCTGTTAAACTTTCACAATTCCACAAACAACTTCTTCAGTACTGGAAAATGATATTTACTCACAATTCTTCTCCCCATGGTTCCACCCTATGGAATAACAGGGTCATTACAATTAATAGGAAATCATTATTTAAGACTGATTGGTATGAGAAGGGCATTGTGTTTGTTGATGACATATTAGACGATAATGGTAAGTTTTTAGAGCATACTGCTTTTCTGAACAAATATACTCTAAACTGCACTCAGAAAGAATATAAAAAGATATGTAAAGCAATACCACTACCATTACTACAGCTAATCCAAAACACATTACTGTATGCAAGAATAAGACCGCTACCAACCTTACCCAATCTTGTAATTAATGAATGTCACATACATGATAAAAAATGTAATAACAAACATATTTGTACTTTTTTTAAATCCAAGCTTTTTTCTGATTATGACAGAGGGCTGTGTGTACAGGTTCCAAATATGGATACCTTATCCATAGATAAACCACATTTCAAATTCATCAAATGGCCCATTTCCCCTAAAATCAAAGAAACTCATTTTAAAATAATTTACAAAATCTATCCGGTTGCAGACTTTCTTAAAAAAAGGTTCAAATTTGAAGTAGATCCCTGTATATTTTGTGAGGCTGCTGAGGAGACTCTGGAACACATGTTCTTTTCCTGTCCCTTGTCCAAAACCTTTTGGTCTGATTTACATAATTGGCTGTCACTTAAGATTGATAATATTCCATCTTTTAATTTGTCACACATCCTCTTTTATATGGACAATGTAGATCCGCCTTTGTCTGATCTGGTGAATATGATTGTTCTCATGGGTAAATATCATATCCATTGTAGTAAGTGGAAATCTTCTAAGCCTTCTTTTTTGTGGTTCATAAATAATTTTAAGTTGTTCTTTTCATCACTGAAGAATGTTAAATCTAGTATAATTGCAAGAAAGATGTATAGAGATATATCCAAGCAATTACTGTTCTAACAATCTCCCCATATTGCTGCACCGAAATGAGACCTTATTTTGTTTTCTATAGCCTTTTCATTAACTGGTACCCCCATTCTCCTTTCTGTTTATTTATTTTCATTTATTTCCTGTGATTTGTACCAAGTGATCTAATTTTTTTTGTTCCCCATACGAGAGTGTTGTATGTTAATGTGTTATAACAATAAAAACAATAAAAAAATAAAATAAAAAAAAATCTCTATTGACCCCCATGTTAAAAAGCCCAACTTTACTGCAGAATAAAACATGTTTACAGCCTGGTTCAAAAAATGGTTTTAGTGCATATCGCTAGGTTTGCCCTTCGTGACAACTGTGAGGGGAGTGAATTTTTTTATAACTCTCCTGTTTAAATTATATTAAGCCTTAAAGTGCATTATTAGGGGCGTGGCCGCTTTGATTGACAGGCGCCATTAGCCGCTGCCACTGCTAGCACTCGGTCCGCCGCCTGTTAGCCTCACTCAGCTACACGGAGCTCTGAGGCTCAGCCTGTTGGGAGTCTTTTGGACATTTCTACATGCAGACACCGGATGAATAATGGCAGGCTGTGCAGTTCATTGGAGAGAGAACCTCCAGGAAATCCATGTTCTACTTGGTGAGTGAAATTCCTGTATTTTATTTATGTGTTAACATTTAACAGGTATCGCTGTCGGCATATAGCTTGTTAGCTTAACGTTAGCTCGTTACGCTAATTAGCCATTAGTGTAAGCAACATTAAGTAAGTTAGTTGTTCTAACCGCAGCTTTTAATGAGTCAAAAACAAGTCAGCAAGAAGGGAGAAGCCAAAATGCATTAGATTAACCTTAGTGTTAGACATTAGGGTGATAATTATGGAACATCCAAAGTGACAGAACTGAATGAAAGAATAAATAAATGGCTAACGTTTTACAAGATATACAGCTTCCATCATGTAACTGAGGACTCTACCGCTAGCTTATTACGTTTATTACGTGTTACGGTGACGTCCAAATAAACGACTCGTAACCGCTCGTAACCAACGGTATGTAAATTGATTTGCTTGAAATTGTTTGTTTGAGCTGTAACGTTAAGTAAACTTAAGGTAATTAATAACTGATTCATAGTTAACATTAATAATAATAATAATTATTATTATTAATTAACTTTAGTGTTGCAAAATAACGTTAACATTACCACATTTATATATTAAAAAGCATTTAAAACCTTGTGAAGTATAATGTCAATAACAGATATGAGTTATTTTAATATTTTCCGGTGTCTTACCTTGACTGTAGCTGGTAATGTCGGTAAACTGGTAACAACCAGCCGCAGGTTCCAACCTCCACCGTACAGCACCGCAGAGTAGCATGTAGCATTAGCTCCTTAGCATGTGCTAACTCGGTCATGTCGAGCTAGGCGGGAGTGGTTTCAGCAACACGTCACCTCAGCTCCACCTACGACCCGCCTCTTTGCCCATTTTTGGTTATCCGGGAGTGATGTGCAGTGACGCGCTTCCAAGATGGCGCTGGCCAGCTCCGCCAATTTTGTGCTTCAAAACGGCTCTTCAGAAACCAATGGGTGACGTCACAGACGCTACGTCCATTTTTATATACAGTCTATGGTGTGAACACAAGTGACGTATTAAACTGATTCGGAACAAAACAAATCGATCCAGGTGTGACAACACCTTAACATTCACAGACTGGTGGAACAGCCACCACGGGCAATTTGGGGTTCAGTATCTTGCCCAAGGACACGTGGACATGCAGCCTAGAAGAGCCAGGGATTGAACCGACGACCTTCCGATTAATGGGCAACCTACGCTACCTCCTGAGCCACAGCTGTAACCTATAATAATAATGACAACAATCTAACAAAGTAGCAACACAAAGGAGCTCCTAGCAGATGGGGTTAGGCGGTCGACATGCTGACTTAAGTTTAGGCACACACCCCTGTGATGGTTAGGGTAAGGCTAAGGGGCTTTTGGGAAGCTGTCATAGCTACTAGCGCTTCGGTCTAGCCAGGGCATCTCGTACAGACGCGCTCGGGGGGTGTCTCATACAGACGCTGAAGGGTACTTTTTGCATCGAATAACGCTTTGCCAGCCTTTCTGAAAGCATCAGTATTTGACACCCTGAGATGAGAACAGACAACACCACACGGGTAATTATGAAGGCACATTTGTGGTACCCTTTGACAGACATGACCACTTTTGCGCATGTGCAGAAAGGGATCCGGCAGGCAGCATGGATTTGGTACCTGCAGTTTACTGGCTCCATAGCTAAAACGGAGCGTTCATGAAATTGTATAAAGAATTGAAAATAAATGCTTTGCCTTACACACATTTTACTTCACTGACCACTTCATAGACCTTTCATTTGGAAAAGTGTCATTGCGTTTAAAAGCCTGCTAATAAGAAAAAAAAAAAACACCAGTATCCGCCTCCTGTCTAGTTTAGAGAGGTCCTAGCTCCCCATGTGAAGCTTCTCTGAAATACCATTGTTGATGGGCCGGACCTCCTGGGAACAATTACAGGGCTCATTTCTGCAGCCCTTTCCCCAAGGACTCAGGCACTGATGTGGCAGTAGCCACTGAACTACCGCAAAAACTGTTTGTGTCAATGTTGGGGCCTTCAGGAAAGCTTTGACAAGCTCCATGTACTTGCATAAGTGGAGGACTTTTCAAGACTTGTTGCAAGGGACACCAAGTACATTATCTCATAAGCTCAGCCCCTGTGATCCTGCTCCTGTTAAGAGACGAAGGTATCCATGCAGCTTTACCACAACTAAAGCTGCATGGATAGAGAAATAGCAGCTGTCTGAGAGGGACTACATACTCTCACTCCAATTCTCTTAAGTGTGCTGGGATGGAATATGACAGACAGCTATCCTAAACTAGTCGTCTCTAAATCTAGGAATAAGAGAAAGAAATAACATTATGAAACAAATGGTTAAACATTACCCAATGTGTTTCTTTTGCATGAAGCAATGTTAATGTTTTGGGAAAATCCACTGTTTGAAGAACAGAAATACTGGATGAACATCAAGTCCATGAAGCAATGTATCACAAATGTCAGTTTAATCATTAAACCATCTATCAATCATTTCAAAGCTGACATCTCAGTTCCACATGTTTCTGTATACAGTATATACATCCTTGCACAAAGCTATGTCTGGAGGTCTGGAGCCTCTCATCAAAAGCACATCTGGTATTAAAAATACAAAATTCACACTTTCAAGTATTCCAAAAATAATTTCACTTTTAAAACTGACAACAGCCCACAAAATATTCAGTGGAACACGCTGTTGCTTATAAATTAGTCTGAGTATTGTCAAAACCTGCATTACAGAGTGAATAAAAATGTTCAGGCTCTATACTTGGATTAAAGATATCTCTAATTAAAGACCAAAATCAATAAAATAATTCAGCATTAAATGTATTAAATTAGAACAATATCCTCTCTGAATCTCTTAAGATCTTTGGACTTTTCCAAGTAATCTGATATTTAGATTATGAAAATTACCCAATGAATTATACATGTAGATGCAAGTGTAAAACAATCAATATTTAGTCTGTTTTTGCTTTACTGCATCTAATATGTTGTTTTTAATGATCCTATACAGAAGTTCATCTGCTAACCAGGAAAGAATTAAATCAAACTCAGTCTAAAAAAAAAAAAAAAAAAAAAAAAATTCTAAAATCATATTTTGGTCCACGTTGTGTGAAGAGAATTTAAAAATTGTAGTGCTGGGTAGAAAGCTCATCAAGGCACTTAAGTCCTGTCTATACCTCACAGGTTAGTAGAGGAAAAGGGGAGTAGCCTGTGGACATTCTGATTTGAAAAAGGATTGGTGCATAAAACAAAGACGGGGGAAGGAGTGCGTTATGAATTGAACAGCAGAGGGAGAGAGGAAAATTAATGTACGGAGAGGGATTTTACATGATAGAGCAGCACTGGCAGGTTTTGCGTTTGGGTGCCTCGGTTTCCTCTTCCTGGGTAGCCTTGGTCGGGCTGTATGTCTCTGTGCTTGCTGGGCTGTTAGCTGCTGGTGGCTCTGCATGGGTCTCAGGTGCTTTGGTCTGTGACAGAAGGGGTTCCTGCTCCCCCTGCCCTGCCTCTGTTCTCTGGTTCTCCTGGGGATCAGCCAGGGGCACGTCCTCAAACTGGTCAAGCAGAGTGGCAGGGTCCTGGGCTAATACTGCCTCAGTTCCCCTTGGTGTTGTTGTAGCTTCACCCTCAGCACCTAGCTTGGGGTTGAGAGTGGAGGGTTGCACCTCAGAATAGACTGGCAGAGCCACTGTAGAGCCTTCTAGGGCATTAGGTGGGGACCGCACCTGTCCAGAGGTTGGATCTTCTGATCGTCTGCCTTGTCCTTCAGCTTCTGTCTCTCCATCTCTGTTATCATTTGTCTTTATGCCACCCTGCATGTCTCCATCTCCAGTTTCTGGCTGTGCCTCTGCAGCGGACTCAGTTGCCTCACTATTCTCTGGTTGCATTAAAGTCTCTAATCCTGCTTCTGTTTTTACTACCTCTTCCACAGGCTCCACTTCCTCTTTGCCTGCTTCTGGATTCAGCGGAGGGGTTTCCTCTAACTGCATAGTCTCCTGCTGATCTTCCCGGGGTGTGAGATCCTCAGGTACATCATCCCCTTCATCTGTGATAATCACACATTGTGCTCTGATCACCAGAGTGCCTTCTTCTTCCTCCTCATTAATGTTGACATTTGGAACTTGCCCAGGCTGTGCTTCAGAAACACCCAGGTTCAACGCCGGTTCCAACTTTATGCTTACAACACCTTCAGAGGATACAACTGATCCATTGGGGGCGGACTGATTAATTTGCACTGAAGCATTATGATTGGTGTCTATCTCTATGTCTCCTCCACCATTGGTTAGGACAGCTGCAGATTTATCCAGTAGTGGGTTTTGGTTTATCTTCACTTTATCTTCAAGTGTTCCTGAAGGAATAACCACCAAATACATATCACTGTCAGTATCTGTGCAATTCCATCAATTCGAACAGTTAGTGCTATAATTGAAAGTTAATTTGCAATCAATATGCCACATTGTCATTAACAATTATATCAGCTTTTATTGTAGTTAGTCGACATGTTACTTGATTGCAATTAGACATTGCTTTTGCTACCTAAGTTATGTATTATAATGCACTTAAAAAGTTATGACATCTATGAATCTTGATGCATTGCACAGAAAGGTAATTCACCTCTGCTCTAATATAAAAGAAAGAGAGTGGCAGATAAACATACTAGATGCAGATTCAGATTATGTAGTCTGAAGTTATAGACCTTGGATGATTTAAATACAAACAGATGGGTCAATTTCATTTTCAGAACTCTCCTATCTACTTCAACAGCTTCAGTAGCATCCCCCGCTGACACATCTATGTACCCGCTGCCCTTTAAAAATGCAAGTTATGCACTTGAGTGTCTATTAGCATAAATATATATGCAAAACCTTATTCAGCATGCATAAATATTCATCACAGCATGTATGAACTTTTTGTGAAGTATAGGTATGCTTTTGCCACTCCTTCCTTTATAATGAAAATATATTAAGATCAGTATATACTGTACGTACAATGCATACAGACAAGTCATGATCTTTAAGGGGTTGGGGTAAGATGGTGATGAGATAAGAATTAACAAAAGGAAGAATGGACAGAAAATAAGATGTTTTCAGGTTCAAGGTGATGAGAGAGATGCCAATATCAATAAGGCTATAGGCATGATTTAATGTGTGCAGGATTTCTTTCTGTATATTTGAGGTCCTGCATGAGCTTTATGAGAATGTTATTGTGTATTTCTGTGTGCATTTTATGACACACGAGTCATCTCTATACCCACCCAATGCTGCTGCATTGTCTTCTCCGTTTTGCAGAACGGCTTGGATTATTTCTGTTGAAGAAAATATTTGTATTTACTGCAACAGTAGCAGGTAAGATTGTTTTGTTGACATGTAGTTTAGAAATCATGAATTACTATACAACAGAGTACTAATTTATCAGAAATTTACACCATTAAGTATACTCTACCTTTAAATTTAAATATTCAAACAAATATATGAGGTCCACACTGAAGACTTAAAATGTGGCTTGCTTGGATAACTTATCTTGTAATAAAAACTGATGCACCAGTACAACACTAGAAAACAAGAAAATCCTCACTAAAAACGTGCTTCTTCTCTATAGATAATATAGTTAAGTTCTTTTCATTGCACACAGACAGAAAAATGGAAAGGAGCCCAAAAATTAAACAAATAAAATCTAATCAATTTGCACTGTGCTGTAATTAATTAAGAGTAGCATTAAAGGCACAACATTGGCAGCAGCTAACAGGTGTTAACAGCAGAAAGAAAAGCAGTGTGTCTACACACATTTTAGGGCTGCATGATATTGGAAAAAACTCATTATATCTATGTTAATATATACTATAAACTGCAATATTTTTCTTTTCTGCAATTTACACTCACCTAAAGGATTATTAGGAACACCATACTAATACTGTGTTTGACCCCCTTTCGCCTTCAGAACTGCCTTAATTCTACGTGGCATTGATTCAACAAGGTGCTGAAAGCATTCTTTAGAAATGTTGGCCCATATTGATAGGATAGTATCTTGCAGTTGATGGAGATTTGTGGGATGCACACCAGGGCACGAAGCTCCCGTTCCACCACACCCCAAAGATGCTCTATTGGGTTGAAATCTGGTGACTGTGGGGGCCATTTTAGTACAGTGAACTCATTGTCATGTTCAAGAAACCAATTTGAAATGATTCGAGCTTTGTGACATGGTGCATTATCCTGCTGGAAGTAGCCATCAGAGGATGGGTACATGGTGGCCATAAAGGGATGGACATGGTCAGAAACAATGCTCAGGTAGGCCGTGGCATTTAAACGATGCCCAATTGGCACTAAAGGGCCTAAAGTGTGCCAAGAAAACATCCCCCACACCATTACACCACCACCACCAGCCTGCACAGTGCTAACAAGGCATGATGGATCCATGTTCTCATTCTGTTTACGCCAAATTCTGATTCTACCATCTGAATATCTCAACAGAAATCGAGACTCATCAGACCAGGCAACATTTTTCCAGTCTTCAACTGTACAATTTTGGTGAGCTCCTCAAGGTTGTGCGTGTTGTGGCTTCACAAATGCAAGGTTGATGAAATGAAAGGTTATTTCAGTCAAAGTTGCTCTTCTATCAGCTTGAATCAGTCGGCCCATTCTCCTCTGACCTCTAGCATCAACAAGGCATTTTCTGCCACAGGACTGCCGCATACTGGATGTTTTTCCCTTTTCACACCATTCTTTGTAAACCCTAGAAATGGTTGTGTGTGAAAATCCCAGTAACTGAGCAGATTGTGAAATACTCAGTGGGCCCGTCTGGCACCAACAACCATGCCACGCTCAAAATTGCTTAAATCACCTTTCTTTCCCATTCTGACATTCAGTTTGGAGTTCAGGAGATTGTCTTGACCAGGACCACACCCCTAAATGCATTGAAGCAACTGCCATGTGATTGGTTGATTAGATAATTGCATTATTGAGAAATGTTCCTAATAGGTGTTCCTAATAATCCTTTAGGTAGTGTATATTGCGATATGAAAAATACAGGAAATTTCACCAGATGACTTTAAGTGCTCTATTTGAAAATAATTAAGCATCCTATAATTATTGGGGTGATCTTTTAGGGAAATACATAGAAAATAAAAAAAATAAACTGAAAATTGTCTTTTTAGTCTGAAGACTCTTTTGAGTGCAAACCATCCTGTCTCAAAAAAAATAAATAAAAGAGCAGCTATACACCAGCCCCCTGATGACAAAAGTTGCTTTTCTTATTGCAACAACCCTTAAATTGGAGTAAATTAATCTCTTGTAGATTAGCCATATAATACGGGGAACCTTGCAAGTTTTCTGTTTTGTATGAAGTATGATAAAGAGTTGCAGGGTTGAAATGTATTGACAGAATACCGTGTTGGAAAAAGCAGGCAGATGGATGACAGCAATGCTTCTCTCTGCACTCTGTTACATACTGTGGATGGTTGAGCTTGTCAAATACTTTAAAATGCTCATGTTAACTCCTCTACAGTGTGACATTTGCATCGATGTATCACTTTCCCTAGTAAAAAGCTAATGGAAATGCAATTTTCTAAAATGTCCAATGTAATTTTAACATTTCTCTGTGCCAAAAGGTTTATCTGATCCCACTTACCTGCACTGGCCTCTGCCACTTTCACTGCCTCCTGCTGGGGAAGAGGGACGGGAGAGGAATTACATTTACTGTAAAAACTGGTAAAACACTTTATGTTGACTGAACCCCTTGTGTATTTGAGGGAATTTGAAAAAACAAATGAAATGCAAACTTTGGAACATCACAAGACCTTTGAGGAAACAGACACAAAATTTTCCTCATGTTGTATAAATACCGGTAAGATACTATCCTACGCTCTGAACAGCACAGAAATGCACAGCATGTGCTGAACTAGTTAATGTGTCCAGTATGGTCTCTCAGATGGAGGACTGATGATTTCAGCTGTTAAAGGGTCATGACATTCTGCCTGGTCACAAGGGGGAGTGATTGAGCTAAAAAGCCCTACCTAACCTTTGATAAGTTGACCACTCTCCACAGTTTGGTGTAATATGCACTTAACTACATCAGCCCTGCATAGATAAACAGTAATCATGTGTGTTCCTTACAATTAAAAGCCTGCTTTCAAGGATCTAAACATATCATCACATTCCTAGTCTCATCCGAAAGCATTAGGCTAACAAAGTGAGAAAATCTTCTTCATGTGCCTGTTTGCGTTGCCAGATATTAGCTGTCACTCATTCTCAGTCTGCCTATTAAACCCAAGCTTTGCTGGCAGAGCCTGTTCAAAGTGCTGTATTTTCACACAGAGGATAAGGTCATGCATTCAAAGTCCTCCATCACAGCCAGCATGAATAATTGGCTGTAATAGTGATTAAAAACGGAATCCTCTGTTTATGTCTCTAGCTAATTTTAGCTGAACTTCAAAATCCAAGGTTTAGATGAATGGGATAGAAAAACCTTACTAAAAAGACCTTGGCACAGACGGTAAAAAAGGCGGGACAGCTCTTTTGTTCTACTATAAAGACTTTCGGCGAGGTCAGGTAAACACACTTGTGCTTGACTTGAGGTGAAACAATAATCCCAGAGTGGGTCAAGTGCTGAATTGTTTATGTAACAGAGCTGCTTACATTCATAAAGTTCCTGCTTTTGAACAAGAGGTGCTACATCAAAGGTACATTAAGAGAAGAAATGCATTATTCATGGGAAAAAGCCACAGACAGTAGTTGAGGGGAATTTTCTACGTAATGGAAGATGATGGAGCGTGCTTGTTCAACACATATTGCAACCCCCTTTGTGTCCACAGAGTGCGTGGGCGAGTGTGTGCATGTTCCTCACCGTTTGGCCATCTTCCATCAGTTCCTTCAGCTTCTGTTCCTCCTCTGCTATCCGCTGACTCTCTGACTGCAATCTGAGACAGACAAAAAAACCAAACACATCAACTCTACACTAACAATGCACTCTTGGACTATGATGCCTTTAAATTTTCTAATCAAAAGTAAAACTAATATAGGCATATTTATTTTGCTAAATCAGTATGTTTCAATTCCCCCAGAGGCCATGTACAGTGTGTATAAGGAGTGTTCTTAGAAAGCGAGGTAAGCTGTGGATCTCTACAATAATAACATTGGGATCTTGAAGTGCAGTTTTCAGGGACTTGACAACATTGCCCACTGCAATAAAAAAGTCTAGTCCTCTCTGGCGACTGTGCAGGCTGGATCTAATTCTCACTCCCTGCCTGCGAGTTGAGTACTGGCAGAATTAAACTGAACTTTGCCAAAGCATACATAACGTATGACAACAGCAAAAAGTATAAGGAAACAAAAACAGAAAAGGGAATGCTGCAACATCAATTATACATGAAGTTTCAGCTACACAAACACAACAAAAACAACAGTTGTGTTATGCTGTCAGCTCTGCGCTACCTGTGTCAGGCAATCACAAACTGGCTCCTCATCTCCTAGCTCCTCTCACACACACACACACACACACACACACACACACACACACACACACCCCCTCCCCCCATACTTGTCAATGCGGTTTTCAATCTCCTGGGCCTGGGAGCCCCATAGAGGGGAACGGGGGCTTTGGGAGTCCAGAGAGGTTGGGGACAAAGGAGCTCCCTCCATCAACCACTGGTCCCTCAGAGACTTCCTCTGGAGCGAGAAAGAGGTGGTGTAGAAGAGGAAGGAGGACAGACAGGATAGCGAGTCAACTTTCAGTAGTATTGTGGTAATAGGATTATGTTGTGTTGCAAATTGTAATTAAAACAGTATACTGTGAGATGCTATAAATGTGTCAACTGTCACAGATGTTGCTATACAGTACAGTTTATACTATTACATAGTGAGAAAAATTTATCAAAAAAACTGGGAGCCGTTTATAAAACTAAATAGCTGAGAAACACAGCAAGTTCAATAACAGCGTGACCAGTATTTTTAAATATCAAGATTTTGGGAGGTAAAAAATCTAATAATAATCTTCAGGCTGATTTTTCTTTTTAAAAATAAACACACAACATCAACATTTTTGATAAGGATCCTTGAAATTTGGTTACTAAACTATTGTGACCAAGAGGCAGGACATTTTACAGTCTTAAAATAACTTGTCAGTGCTCTCTGGTGGACAAACTATATGTTCGAGTAATAAATTCCTGCAACACATCTTTAGCACTGGTAAAATTAACATTACTACAATTCACACTATTCAGGTTTTATTAACATTATACATCAATGATACAGATACAGATATAACTGTGATAAGCTATTATCAGCCAATAATATCACTCCTGACTTGCAAGTCAGGCGCTAGTAACACATACATTTTTTTAAAGGAATCAAATACAACACTTTACAATGAACAACACTGACTCAACTAACTAACCTAATGCTAGCTAGTAATGCTAACTGTAGTCATTAAAGTATAAAGCTAGCTAACAATTATCTCTAGAAAGTATTACCTATTAATCTTGAAAATATCCACAAGAAAAATAATATACAAACCGTTAAGAGCAACAGTAAGTGAACAGAATGTTCACATAACTAGGATGTTGAATTAGCAACAGACAGCTAACAGTAGTTAAACTGATATGGCTAGCCTGCTTAGCATTTAACGTTAGCTGATAAGAAAAACATCTGAAACTACAAAATAGTTTAAACAAATGTCACAAAATAGCTACTCAGCATTGAGTATCTTCAGATAATGCTCCAACAAGGGCGTTTTAAGAGTAACATTAGATAAAAAATGTAAGATAAGAAGCTGAAGATAATTTCAGTTAACTCCAACTGTGCCCGTTGTGGCTGCTACTAGCAACAGAATGTTCAACTGAAACCAACTGCTAAGAAAGAGAGAAAAAAACTGTGTCCATAATCACTCCTGATTTGTCCAAAAGTGTAAAATATATACACTAAAAGGCCTAGTGTCTCTAAAGATGCTCATGCTAATCAAACTGCAACTCTAAACGGTCACTGAACATTAAAATAAAGGTGTTTTCTTAGGTGGTGTTTTAGCTTTAATTTCTTTACCAGCTTTGAGCAGATCGTTTATTTACTTTTGCATTGTGGGAAAATCATACAGGGGTTTTTGTAGGCCTACACTGACTGTTTTCAGTATACTTGACAACTTTGATGTTCAGCATGAACATACTCATACCTGCTTATAATTGGTCTGGAATTGGGACACAGCTTATTTTTCTTTTACAAACAATCTTGCACAGAAGCAAAAATTATAATAAACTCACAGTTAATGATGTTGATTTACACATGTCAGAAGTACCATGGTCTACTCACTACAGAGGCACAGCAAGGAGAAGTAAGATGGAGCAGTGACATAGCCAGAGGGGAAAATTGAGATAGGGAAGGTAAAGCGAAATGTGGTTGTTTGAAGGGGGCGAAGGTGAGAAAAAAAGGTGAGAGACAGAAAGACAGAAACAACTGAGTCCATGTCACCATGTCTTCATCTCAGCTATCCGACAGAGAGAATGGTAGTATGAATTTATATTGTGCATGCACTTTATTCCTACACCACTCCAGTAAAGAGACATCGCCCAGTGAACGAAAGGTGCCTGAGGCAACCATTTCATCCAACCAGAACACCAAACCAAGAACTTTAAAGTTTTACACAAACAAGAGCACAATGTTCAGAAGTTTGTAGAACTGACTAGTCTGTCTAAGAGACACACAAAAACATAACATTCCTTCAAGTCTAATACTTTATTTCCACTGCTTTGCTGTTTTTTCTTTCGTTCCAGACCCCCACTGGACATCTAGCACTCGAATCTTTAAAAGCTCTGTGTGTGTGAACTATCTGTGAATATGAGTGACACATCCCACATGGGTGTACACATTTGTGTGAGTTTTCCACTGGAAACCTGACAGTCCATCCCAAATTACACAAGTGACTACCGATTTCATGGTGTTTTCAAATATAATGATTCCATTTCACCTGGAATAATTTGCGCTAGCCCGCATATATGTGACCTTTTAACTGACAAAAGGTGAAAAAATTACCTTTTCAAGAATGTAATTTATTTAGTTGGAGTTCTGAGCTGTACAAACACAGTATAGTATGTACAGTATATTTACACGGAATCTTCACCTTTTCAAAGCATTCACAGCTCTTTTTAGTTATTACTGTTCTTCAGTGTTAACAAAAGTTGGACATATTTTCATGCTACATCCACAAATAAAACAAAAACAAAGTGGTGATACTGCACAACCAGAAAGAGAACCCCGGTGATGAAAGTGACATGATGAAAATAATGTTATAATGATAGTGGTTACACCATTTGTCAGACTCATCAAACCAAGCCTGCCATAATTTACTTCACAAATGTATTTCCATTGTTATTTGCAGAATTTCTTCATAGACAAAATTCCACTTGAGAAATGATCTGCCAAAACTCGAACATTATACACATTATACAACCCTTTCAAGGGTTGTATAATGTACACTTTAAACACTACACTAAAGAGACTGGAAGCAGGAAACTGCCAAGAAGGAGAAACATTTTTGACTCTATTATACAATAAGTTACTAGTTGTGTTCCTGTGTATGTCAGGAAAAATAACAGTGGCTGCAGGGTGACTTAGTCAGTAAGACAACCATGTTACAACCGGTTGACCTTGGTTCAAGTGCTTGTTTCATCTGCGCCGCTAAAGTGCCCTTGAGCCAGACAGTAAACTCTTGCCAGCTCGAGGAACACTTTTCTGTAGCTGACAGTGACATGCGTAAGTGAACAGTCTGTCTGCAGGGAACCTTTTGTAGGCTAAATCTAATGTACCAAAATAACCAGGATTATCACATTATCATAGTTATGTGTCTATATACACTAAAATCCAGCACAAAGCTCTCAGAGCAACTGTAATTTTTCTTACTGGAGGTGAAAGCATCTGAAAATCCATACTCCCCTCCAGTATATGGCCCTATGTTTTCAAAATCTGGCAACCGTTAGCCAGTAGCTACCTACTTAGCTATAAGCGTCACAAAACCATCTGTGTTTTCCCATGCAGCGCAGAACAAGCCCTGCTCTGTTCACCTCCCTTTGCCTTTGGCTTGCTGGGCACAGCCCTCTCTAAACTTTCCTGCAGGTCAGGAGCTGTGTGTTGCTGCTCCCTCTTATCACAACCCTACATCTACCCCAGGGTTACACTCAATGTCAAAGCTAATGAATGTATGTAAAGCAATGATGATATCGCCTCCTGTGAGAGAGCAACTATTGAAATAATCATTTAAAAATGAATCTTTGAAGCCTCTCATCGATGCAATTTATGTTCGGTGCATTGTTCACAAACTCACATGCACACACAAACACGGTGAACATATGCAAAATAGTGTCTTCTATGACCACACCAGCACACACATGCATACCTGCTTGCACACAAACACACGCTGCACAGATTTCACACAATTTGAGGAATGTGCCCCTGGACAGCGTAACACAGCGGAGTAGGAAGTGGGAACGCCAATCTGGAAATTATGTGAAAACAATAGAGCCGCTCTGTGCCTTGCAGAGTGTGGAAACATGCTCATAAAAATTGATTTCAGCAAAGAAAGGCTTTCCTCTAACCTTGTGAGAAACAGGCAGAACCAGGAAGTGTTGAGGGCTGTACAGTTCATCTATGTGTGTGTTGGTGTGTGCGTGTGTAAGAAAAGGAAATAAATGTGTCTATCTGCATGGTAACAAGCTGGAATGGGTCTGCAGAGGATTTTAGCTGAGTGAAATTAAGGCTGCATGTGTGTGTGAGTTGCGTGGGTGAATGAATGAGACAGGTTAGATCATCCTGTGTATGTGTGTCACACCTTGAGCTGCTGTAGTCTGAGCTTCTCATCCTCCATCTCTCTCCTGGCTCTGTCCTGCTCCTCCTGCAGCCGGCGCTTCTCCTGACAGGGAGAAAGAAGGAGGGAAAGAGAGAAATTGCAAAAAATAGAGTATGAATGTGGACATATTGATCACAATGGGAGGGCAATTTTATTCTAATAAAGACAAGCATGGACTGGATAAACTCAGATCTGCAGCAAGATATATAAACAAGCAGATGCAAATAAATAAGCAGTAACAAAGACAGGGAAGAGACGGTGATGAATAAAACATCACTGGGAAAGAGTAAAACGGGGACACCTGGTCAACCATCTGTCACAAGGACACTGTCACCGTAGACATCAGGTAAACTCTATATCCCATAATACTTACAGCAGCTGTCCCCATGACAACCCGGTGTTGTTTTCGTGGGACCAGGGACACCCTGGCTCACCACACTGCACAATCAATAAATGATTTAGGAGTTACGAACAGCTCAGTGAGCTTAGTGTCTTTACCCTCTCTTTCTCTGTACAGACGAATCAGAAATAACGTCAGAAGAGGACAGTGACAACTACTACACTTGTAAACCTATTATTTCACTTTTCATGCAACTTTGTCAGAAAAAACTGTCCAGGTGATCCTGTAGAACTGATTATATGTTGGAAATAAATTAAATTAAAAAGGTTATAATCTACAAAACCTAAACATTTCAAAACAAATGTGTCCAGTTTTGGCAGACAGCTAGATGCCTTTCTGTGCTGTATTATCAGCTGCTCCAGTAGGTAGAAAGTGAACATAAACCCCACGTTACGGCCAATGGTCAACTGGTCAATTTGTTTCTAGGCTCAAATTCGAGTTTTACATTATCACATATTTACGATTTTTATTAAATGATGCATTTCTTTATAAAGATTTAAATCTGAATGTGGAGGTTGGACAGAAGCGGTACATTAATGTTTTTTTTGTTTGTTTTTTTTAACCTGTGTCATAACAATTTCTAGTACTTTGAGACCTCTACGGTCTCGTAGACTTCCTGCTGACCATGATTAACCCCAACATATCTTTTTCCGCAGTCACTGTAAATGTGTACAGTTTCTGCTTCCTTTCTGCTGCATACACATCAGCCGCTGGATTTGTCTATACACAGATGAATATGCGTGTGTCTTTGTATGTGCACATGGACTCACAGCAATGGCCTCCAGTCGCTGTTTGTACTTGTCCGCCTCATCCATCCTGGCACCTGTGACACAACAAGACAGGGTTGAAGGTTAGTGATCAGAGGTTAAGCAAATACTGGATCCATTTATTCCCCATATTACGGTGTTCACTGGTCTGAGAGAACGAACTCCGGCCACTATTTCAGTTGTATCTTCTGCACTTCACACACAAAACCCTTATGGTCTTTACGTATGGCAGATTTTATTGGACTTTAATATTTGTAACCCACAGAAAACAATTGTTTATGATGCGCAAATATTTCACTATCTACAAATATGTATTTTTACATTTGTGACTTCCAGTACACATTGGACAAAATTCCACAAATGCGTACATGACCCACAAACTGACTGGAAGAGATCTGAAAATGCGCAAAAACTGTTGTGTGTGTAGAAGTCACTCTGTTTTTTTTGTGGATATGATTTTACACATCACAAAAGTAAAAATACATATTTGTAGATAGTGAAATATTTGCGCATCATAGTACATATTTGTGGATTGTTTTCTGTGGGTTACAAATATTAAAGTCCAAGTGTGGGAAGAAGAGAATCAAACAGCATTTCTGCATTAGTCCCCAAACTCATTTAGTCCCACCCTGTACATCAGAGAATATGGAGGCAGCTAATGAGTGGCAACACAAGATCAGACAGCAGAATTCAGCCGTTGCTATTTATGAAACATGTAATTGGACAAGTATCTCAGTAGTACATTCCCATGTCTGCAGAGCTACCTTGACCCACAATCCTCCACATCAATCCCACCCTTACCAAAAATGTCTCCCCCATACCCCATTTAGCCTTTTGTGTCTATTATGACACAGCCCCAGGCATTTCGAAGAAAATGAGCATAGGCATTTGTTTTCCCCTACAGCTGACACTAAATGGGACAATATTTGAGCTCCCCAAAACTCAGAGGTACATGAGACAGCATAGACTTAGCACCCAGCTCACAGCAACTCAGTCATTAGTGAGTTCTTGCCATCACAAGCCATAACTCCGTTTTCATAGGAAAATCTTCCTTCTAAAAACTTCTCAGGAGAGTAACAACACTTATTTTTGTCCCACATGTAATTCTGCACTGGGTGCGTTCCATAACAAAAACACACTTTATACTTTAATTGTAGATGTTAACGCAATAATTTTCTGATCACTGACAATCCCATTTGGTGTATAAAAAGTTCTGTCCTTCACCAAAAAACACATTTAGCCATCACAGTAACTGAGATCTCACACTAGTGGTCATCTGAGCGATACAGTGCCCAATTTCTGTAACAAATGCCACACTGCCACAGCCATCACAGAGCGCAAAATGTGTCCTTACCAATGTACGTACACACACAGCACACTTTCCAGATGCACAACCTGCAAAACTTCAGAAACAAGCTAATGTGAACATGAGGAAGGTCAAACGTAAAGGGGGACCTCGTCTTTTACATCAAAATCCAACTGTACGTTGACAAAGAAAAAACATCACGTGTAAACATCCAAAAAAGCTTTGACAGATCAACCCTCTGCACCATTACTCATTTCTCCCCCACCCCCTCATCCAACATTCACATACTCTAAATATGAGGTTTCTTATTTCTGCCCACAAGGCAACTCACTGGAGTTGATGCTATTGTTGCTCCTCCAATATGTTAGCTCTTTTAGGTCCTTAAGGGGTGTTCGTGAACATTGTGTGAAACTTCTCCATACCAACACCTAAAGAATCCCTTCGGCACCCTCAAGGTGAGGGATGGGTGTTGGGGTCACAGGGGAGGCGGGCCCACATTAAACGATATAAAAATGTAGGTGTACTGTGTCTGGAGGGGAACACAGAAGGATGAAAGGAATTGGGAAAGGTAGAAAATGGCAATGGGGAAACAACCTCTAGCATGCCTTTCTTTTCTCTGGAGTTCTCTCAAGAACTGACGTGGCAAGATGGAAGGATCAGCCGAAAGACAGATGAGAATACACATACACAGAATATATATGGAGAGATTTAGAGACAAGGGGGACCCTTGAATAGCAACAGAGGTGGAAGAGACAAAATCTCATTTTGGCAGTGTTCTGAATGACTGGAGGTGCAGTGACAGCTTACAGTATAAGCCTCCGTAGGGAGTGATGGCTTGTGTCTCATCAGGGCTCCAGGAGAGCGCCTAGAATAGCAGCCACAGATAAACAAGCAAACACAAACAGTGGCTTTGATGAGGAGGTATTGAGGAGCTCCCCGTAGACGCACACCGACTTCGATAATTAGACATGATACAGGAGGGTAGGGTAGGCTGACAAAGTCAAAAAGTTAAGAGACAGAGAAAGTCAAGATGTTTGAAGAGAAGAGCGGCAGGGAAAGAGAAGATGAGAGAGGAATGAGGTGACAGGAAATGTATCAACTGGTTTGGGATTCAAATCCCCTAATGTCAAGGGTAACACAAACATATGAACAATTTTTGTGCAGGACAGACAAAAAAAACATGATTGTTCAAGAATCGGAAGAAGAGAGAAATTGTAGATTTAATCTACTCTGTTTCCTTTAAAACCTTGATCATTATCAAGCAAATTCAGGTCAGTTTTCTCCCAGGTAAACCAAAGAGTGATTTTGCAATCTTGGATAGTTTCATTTAAAGGCCTCTCAATGGCCCAAGAGGTCAAAGTATCCAGTGTTTTGCAAAAAAGCCAACCAAATATAGTTTTATTTATTTTTCCTTGAATTATTTTGTAACCCCTCAGACTTATCTTGTGACGCCTACTTAAAATCATTTAGGGTTTGCTAAAAATGATGTCTGTTATTTACTGGGCAGTGTCTACATTATAAAACCAAGCAGAAGTGTTATTAATGCGAAATCCTTACTTTAACTATGAATCTTTGCACCTTAACTGTGAATTTTCACACAACTCCCACAATCCTCTTGTGGTATTCTGGAAGCACAGCAACCCACAAATGTCCCAACATGGACCCAACAAAAACTGCACTTGTTCACTGCTACCTTGCCCCTGTTATTGCACACTATATCCAATAATCTCAGAACCAAACAGCAGCACTAAAAACACTAATATAGCACATGGCCCTGAACACGAACACAGCTTGGCTGCTACAGTATTCAATTACAGACATTGCTTCACCTGTAACAACTGTTACATGCCAACCCAGGTGGCTGAAATTGTACTGATGCCTCAGTTCCATTAAAACTGAGAGTTTTTTGGTTTTCAAGGAAATGTTTTGTTTCCTACACAAACACTTTCCTGTTCAGCAAGTGGTAGGCTGTCTGACCTCAGTGGTATGACCTCCCACACACAGGGTCTCTCCCAGTTTACATCTCCCATTCTCTATGTCTCCCTTGCCATACCCCACTCACAATTACTGCAGTTTTATATGACTGCAGTAATTAAATGCTTTTGGATTTGGGTCTGAAAACAAGTAACAAGGCACAAGTCACTTTGCCCTCTGGGAAATTGTGAGTGGCCTTTTTCAGTATTTTCAAAAATATTATAGACTAAACAGTTACTTGATTTAAAGCTGCTACCAATCATTATGAATGAAAAGATGCCATATTCAAATGGATTGTTTTGTAGGACCAACTGTTCAAAATCCAATGAGATTTAGTTTACGATCACTTGAGACACATTTTCACTTCATCGAGAACTGTACTTCATCGATATGGCAGTGCACTCCTATAATATCTCACAATAGACAGTTAAAAAAAGACTTAATCGTGTGTATGGGAGGGTCTAGCTGTGTCAGTCATTCAGTCTTACTGCAGACGGTCAGTATGGTTTCT